GCGGATCGAGGCCAGCATAAATAAGCTCGTGCGGCGGACAACAGAGAACGTGCCCAAGCAACCTCAGTTGCCTTTCTTGAATGGCCTGATATATCCTGGCGATACGATAGCAGCGGGTGCTAACTGTCTTCTTCGAGATGAAGTCGCTATACTTAACTCGCAGGATCGTCCTCAGGCATCGGTGGTCAACGACCTCCAGTCTTCGCTCATCTTCAGCGCTGGTGCAGCGTTAGTCAACACATACGCCGATGATCATGCTTCCCCCCATGTTCGACACAACCCGAGTAACGTCTGCTGTACCCTGAGTTGGTCCAGCTCATCTATTACGCGGCCCGTTTAAGGAGCACACTCGTCAAACCCAGTAATATTAGCACGAACAATTGCATGCAGTTAGTATTTGCTGGAAGTTATGCCCAGGCAGATGGCCTCACAGAGTCTCCTTAATGTGCTGAAGGGAGACTCTCGAATACCATGTGCTTTTCTGCACCGATATTTGGGGAAAAAATGAGGATATTTTCAACTGGATCAACATCCAGCTGTGTGACACAAGAATAGGAACCTGACGCTATATTTCAAGAAGTTACGGATTAGGGTTTGGGTCGGAGTGAAGCTAAGAACCCAGGAATAGGTAACCTTCCTGGCATTTGTCGCAATACTGCCCGGGGACTGCTTAATATCTTACCGATCTGTCGATTCTACGAGACTGCAATTAGCTGTAAGATTGGATACGAAGAGGCTTACTGATGCACATAAAGAGTTATATGCTTATACTAGGTGCGGCGGCTCAGACTTTACAACATGGCGACACTGTCTTGGTGGTTATCATGTCCCCGATACTTGTCGAAAGTCTCTACATTTTGCTTCTTAAGCTGAATTATGCCATTTTAACAAAACATTTTAGTAAAGACTTATTTCCCTAATAAAACGTACACCGAAGGTCTCCTTTTGCATGCCTTACGAAAGGGAGTTCAAAGTCTTCAAAAATATTGAAGTCTACGGCTTAAGCTGAATGCTTTTCTGGCTGGAACAAACCTATTTCTATGTGAAAATATTCCCTACTGAAAAAAGCAACATGCCTCTGTAATTGGAATAACTACGACCAGAACGTGTGAAGATTCGGCGTGATTTTTTAGCCTCGAATCTCGGGTGCCGCAACACCTGGAGTTGGATATGGCCAGCTGATGACGGTTAATAAGCAGAAATGGCCATTTCAGTTCTCATCTTTGTCGGTAGTAGCTTTATGCCCATAGATATATGCGTAAAGATACGAGGTCCAGATATGCTATCGTGTTCATCATCCCCCCCTACAATCCGAAATTGCAGACATGCATTCGTGGGCCGAGATATAAATCGACTGACGTAGTTTCCGTAATGAAAGCTTACTCATCTAGAGTGAGCCTTAATTTATTACGACTCGCCACCTGCCTTGTATTAAAACCCTGCTCAACGAACACACTTTGGCTTGCTTTTTGGCCGTTGGTTGGTTGGGTTGGTTAGTTCTGGCTTCCCTGTTGTTGATTA